AAGAGGTGGCGACACACTGTTAAATTACGGTATTCATCTCAGTTGGCTGCCCTGTTTCACTGAGAAAATTCACAGGCTTTTGTTTGGGCTTTGTGTCCCTCAGCAATCTGAAGGAATAAACATTAGCTTTTTTTTAGCTCACTTTATCATTAGAACAAAGTGAATTATATTGCTTACAGATGCAAATCAGAAAGATAAAAACAGTCAAAAGACATGAAGAAATCTTTGGCGAAACGACGGGAAAATGTTAAATATTTTAACACGCATTTCGGGGCTTTGTATCTCGTAGGGCTTCTTAATTCAGACAATCTTGGTTGGAACAAAAAAAGAGTTTACATTTAAGAACTAACATTGACTGAATATCTATTTATTCCATCCTTCGATTCTGGAATTATTATCATTCGTGAATTTAACAGGATTTCAATAAACTTCCATGACACATTTACTCATAAAATCGGGATGAATTTTTCTTACCAGCTCCTTGTATCTGTCATGAATTTTCACTTTGAACAGACTCTTATGGCCGGTAAAGCCTTAAATTTACCTACAGAAAAAGCAATTGAAAAATGATTTGAAAGGAGGTTGATATTGCAGAATTGAAAATAATGTCGCTGGCTATATTTCCTTTGTTGTGTTCTTTAAGAAAGAAATAGCACCTTTAATAAAAGTAGAACAGATGTTAACGATATCACTCGAAATGAAAAATATACATCAAAAACAGCTTTAACAATTAAATTGCCTAATATTCGGGGAAATAGGTTTTTAGAAACCCCGAAATGAATAAGTGAGCGATATTTCCTTCCTATAAATTAAACAAATTGCTTTTGCAAACTACACTTAAAAGAGCTTTTACGGATTCATGGCGTCAGAAATATGATTCGACCATACCTTCCTAATTTCTTTTTAAAGTAGTGAAGTTGCAGTTTATGACTGCGTCAGACAATAATCAATAACATGGAATAAAATGATGTTTATTCTCTTAACAGTAGGAAATCCGATCACCTATACCGCGAGTTAGTGAAAAGAAAGCGATTTCTATGAGAATTTTTTGTCGGGCACCGCCATGCTTAATTTTCAGTGATTCCCTCAGGCGAGATATAAAAACGCTGTAAGAAGAAAAGCCATCGTAATTAGGCAAAAAGAGCCCAGGAAATTGCACATGTGTTAAGGCCAATTTGAAACACATTACCTGACAGAACCCTAATGTATAGCTCATTCGTCTCCTGATCCTAAAATCTGTTCCACAAGCAATTTGTCGTTATCAATTTTTAAAAAATCGACATTAAATAGGTTTTTATTTCGGGGATCGATTTGAAACATATCTAGAAATGTTTCACTCGGCTTATTACTATATCTGTTCGTTCATCAGTTGTACAAGGAATTCATCTTTTGAATAACTAAATAAACAACAATTCTGTCCAATTCCGAATCATTTAGGTGTTTAAACGGGGAAAAGTTCTTCCAGTTAAATCCCAAACTGAACGGAAACCGCAGTGCATTTCTAATCGTGTATATTGTTATAATTATCATTTCTTCTCAAGATAATAATAATGCTCTAAAAGCTACTTAAGAAATCTGACATTTAGACGTCTTCTTAGGATCAGTTCGACCGAAACCGCGCTAAAATCGTCTTTAAATTCTTCAACCATGTCAGCGGCGTATTCTCTCATAATCTACCATTTGTATTAATGAGAAAATAAAATCGAAATTGAACTTTTCTATCTGTTAGTCCGGCACCGATAATTTCAGGATTGCTTTGTAATTGATATTTCCATATCCATATGAAATTGGCCACTAATTATCATTAGAAAATTCCAAATAGCTCCGACAACTTTTGTTCAATTTCTACACCACGTAATGCAGATTAGGTGTTCGCTTTCTATCTTAAGAAGCCTTTCATCTTTGAAGAGAATCAACTTGAAGAAGCCAAATTTCTCCGTTGTTAGCAATCTTCGGCAGAGACACGAACTTTTACTGTTCTTTTGTTTGCGAAGACTCAACAAAGGTTGAAAACAACATTAAGTTTATTAAACAGTGCGCCAATAAAACGACGACACACATTTAGGTGAAACTCTACGCCCAAACATTAGCTGGGTAGTAATAAAAAGTTATAAAGAAGAACACAACTCCTGCGCTTTGTTGTTCTTTGCTGGGGAAATATGTTCTCAGAAGAGATCCAACTTTAGTCTTGCTCGCATGGAAATTTTACCACGCTTTTGTTGTTATTCAAGGCTCTCTTAAACTCTCAAGGATTTCAAACAAAGGTTTTGTCAAATTAATATACAAATTTTATGAGACGACATCGAAAAATCCAGGTGTTTCACAAATGGTGCAAATTTGAGCGAAAACTCCGCGCTACTCTGACTCTTGAAATACACATGTTACTGTCCTGCCGCAAGCCATTTTGTCCAAAATAAACTCTAAACGACGTTTTAATTAAGTTATATCACTTTACGTCCACGACAGTTCACTAGGATCATTGTTGTCTGACGAACCTGTAAACAAATGAACAAAAGCGAATGCAGAATTAGCTGTTATTTTGAGTCAACTACTCTTTTCCAACCGATGATTCGAGGCTTAAACGGTAGCGTAGGTCGAGTGTTCACGAGAGCAGCTTTAATCAAACTAGCCCGGACAATTTTTTTATAATTTTTGTAAGGTTAGACTGAACTACCTTCCTCACCAATCCAGAACTTTTTGAATTGGCTCTTCCAGAGCATGCGTTTAAAAACGCCCGGAGCTAAAATAAAAATTGGAAAAAAATAAAAAAATAGAATTTCCAGACGTTGTTTCGAACTTTCAAAGTCTGTCGGGTTTGATGAATAGAAGACCACGCACATATTATTTCCAAATAGCCAACAGGTATGAGCGATATTGGACCTCAACCGCTCTACGCCTAATAATTTTGAAAACGGAAAACGCCGCTTTCAAATTAATCCGGTAAAGTTGGAACAAAGTGTCAGAAAACGTATGCGGTTCGCTCACTACAGATTGAAAATTTGAAGTCAATAAAATTCTATAAAACTTTCGAGAAATAGAAGTCTGAATTTGTTTATATTCACAGTGAAGGTAGCCAGGTTCGATAATTAGCCACTGGTCGGGAAATGAGCCCACGTTCCTCTTCCGCCTCTTTTTTTTCCTCGGTGGATTCAAGATAGAGGTGCGTACAGAGCCCATAGTCTATGTTGGTTTATGTGCATATCCCCAACCATAATAATTGAAGTTATTTTTATCAAATCTAATAAAGCTGTATTCAATTTTCTTGGGTGAGACAGTAAGAAACTTTTTTCTGTTACGTAACAGACATTGTCTATCGCCGAGGGGAAGGGGAAAGGGAGGGGGAGGTGAAGGGGGTAATGTTCTATTTTGGACTCTAGTGTCCGAATTAGACACTAGTGTCCGATATTTTAACTCTAGAGTCTGATGTCTCTAGCGTCTGATTTTTGATATAATGTTCAATTTTGGATACTAGTCTCTGATTTCAGACAGAAGTGTCCATTTTTAGACACTTGTGATCAGTTTTGGGCTCTTGTCTGATTTTGCACATTTTTGTTGGATTTTGGACACTGTTTAGTGTCCGATTTTAGACATAAGGGTAATTTTTAGACACTATTGACCGATTTTGGACTCAAGTGTCTGATTTAGGACACTGCTGTCTGATTTTTGACATTAGTGTCCGATTCAGACTCCTTTGACTGATTTTGGATTCTATCTAGCGTCCGATTTTAGACACTTGTGTCCGATTGTAGACATTTGAGTCTGATTTTAGACACTTTTGTCCGATTTAAGATACGTACTAGCGTTCAATTTTGGACGCTTATGTCCGATTTTCGACGCTTATATCCGATTTTAGACATTGATGACCGGTTTTAGACCCTAGTTTCTTTGACACAAGCGTCCGATTTTGGACACTAATGTCCAATTTCGGACTCTAGTGTCCGTATTAGACATAAGTGTGCGATTTTCTACACTAGTGTGCGATTTTTTACACTAGTGTCCGATTTGGGACTCTATAGTCTGATTTTGGACTCTATTGTCAGATTTTGGAAACTAGCCAGATTTTAGACAAGTGTCTGATTTTAGACATTGGTTTTCCGATTTTGGACTGTTGGACACAAGTCGGTTATATTTTACACATTAGTGTCCGTTTTTAGACACTACCGTTAATAGCCACTAATGTCTGTCACTAGTGTCCAGTTTGGGACATAAGTGTTTGACTTTGGACCCTCTTTGGTTTTGGACACTGGTGTCCAACATTGGACGCTAGTGTCTAAGTATCTAAAACGGGACAACGGGCTTATTACTCATTTCCAGAGCCATCACAAAACTGTTGTTATGCTCAGATTGAAGTCTTTTGGGGCCTTTCGCGGTACTTTTGTCGATCACACCAGGAACTCTTTGCAATTACTTTGTACGTTCGAAGTGATTTGTGAACTATGCAGAGACGCTGAATTCTTATTTTTTTTTACCTACTCAAACATTTTTTTTTTCTTTTATTCTGGAAATTCATTTGTGGAGGATTTATGATACTAATAAGGACTGGAAGCGGCAGACATTGCGGTGAGTGGAGAATTTTATTCCACTTTTTTCTTACATATTGCGCTCCGCAGTGCAGATCATAGACCACTTTCATAAATGGCTGCCGTATAAATATTCTTTTGTTTAAATTTAAATTAGCCCTACTGGCCTCGCTTGAGATAATGTATTCTTTTGAAGTTTGTACTGGAGAACGAGGCCAGTAGGGCTAATTCAAATTTAAACAAAAGAATATTAATCCGGCAGCCATTTATGAAAGTGGTCTATAAACGTTAGAATACGGGAAGGCGAAAAAATTGCATCGTTTGGTGAAAGATAGATGAGTACATCGCCACGACTTACGCTAAGGGTTACCGTCTCTCTTTTGAGCCGATGAATCTGGTCATGACTAAGGTCGTTTTCCATAGCAACAAAGAGTCTTAGAGTCCCCCCCCCTTAAAATATATGAATGCTGCAGGCCAGGCTCAAGTGTGACGCTTAACTACTTTAATTTAAACAATGTTGTTAGGCCGAGAGAGGACGAAGGAGTAACAGAAGTACTGGGATTCGCCTAATTTTTCTTGCACGTAAAAAAAAACTCAGAGTACTTGAACTGGGAAGTGAAAGTAAAAAAATAGGATTGGAAGAGAGATTTAGACAAACAAATTGCCCGAGAATTGGTATTTAGAAATTACCTCCCCAATATGGTTTATTTAAAGATCAGTCCTTTTTTCCTGGACACTTCTTCGCTTAGGCCAATCTTCGTTCACAGTCGGTCAAATCAATCATTCTTCGGTTGATCCATTTTGCGTGTAAAGTTTCCTGGTTTTCTTAGTATTTTCCATTTCTGTGTCTTGCTTCATGAGTTTGAGATAAACGTGTGCTGCAATGCCCAACTCGGTCAGTTGAGTTCGAAAAGATCTTTGGTCACACGGAGCACGCCACACTGTACCCAAGACCTTTTACATGGCATCCTAGTGACTGCTTCCCAGCTTCGTTTCCTGTCGTCGTAACACTCAACACAGTCAAGACTACCTGAGTTATTACAGCCTCCAAACAAGTAAATTCGGTATCCAAGTCTTGTTACCCCAGCCGCTTGTCGAGGGACAGAGATGTTTGGTAGTGAGGCCCAATCCTCAGTGGAAGGATCTAGCGCTTCGCAAGAGGACAGATACGCCCCGCTGGAGGACTGGCCACCAATTACAAATATTTTTCCGTTCATTTCAACTGCGCATGCGAAATACCGCGCTACTTGCATGGACGTGACGTCACTCCAAATCTGTTTTCGAGGGTCATATCGTTCAACTGTACGCAGAAACTCGTTCCTGTCGCTCAAACCACCGATCGCGTATATGAGACCATTATAGGCTGCTGAGCAGAGACCAGCACGTTTGAAAGACATGGATGTCTCAATGAACCACTTATTGATATCCGCATCGTAGCGCATGACTTGTTTGGTGGAACCGCCGCCGTTTGGTATTCTTCCTCCAATGATAAAGATGTGATCCCCACACGTGACAGCAGTTGCTGCGCAGCGCATCTGAGGCATGTTCGCTACCGCTATCCAGGAGTTAGTGTGCGCATTGTATTGTTCGACTGACTGGCCGTTCTCCGTTTGGGTACTACCAAATGCGTACAGAACATTGTCGTGTACAGCCGTGCAGTGTTCATCACGTGCCTTTAACATATCTGCTAGGGTCAGCCATTTTTTCTTTGCCGGGGAGTAACAGGTCGCTTCTTTGCACAAATTTCCGCCGCACACTGTGATGACGTCCAGATATCTTTTTAGATTATTTCGAGCGCACTCGTGATCGTCATACTCGTGGAGGATGAACGCGTTCAAAGCTCTCACCACAAGCTTTGTGCAATAAAAACTCTTGCTGACCAGCTCTTCTTTTTCCACTTGATTAATCAAATAATGCCTCGATAGCGAAGACAGGCGAATTTTGCTGAAGAGCTCTTCGAAATATTCCTTTCGAGTTTCCAAATTGTGCTTTACCCACTTTATCAGTGTCTCGTATACATCTTCCTCGCGCGAGACTTCGAGATCGTCGCGCGCAATTATTTCGGTGTAAACTCTGTACTCGACTGATTTGAATGCTTCAGTATTGCAGGCATCGTTATAGTGTTTCACAATGTAGCTTGTGGCAGAGCTTTTCAAGGAATCGCAGCTGTACCTCTCAGCAAAATCTCTCAAGGCGAAGCATTTTGATGGAGAAAGTAGACCCTCCAAAAATTCGCACCCAATATCTTTGAGGCTCTGAATGAGCAGATAATCGGCCGCTGCCACGAGGCTTTCTGCGTTATCTTCGTCAAGAGTCACGTTCCCGGTGTACAAATAACCTAAGAGAGGTTCCATAACCGAGGCTTTCAGTTGGTCAAGCTTACATTCCATTAGATCTTTCTCCTTCATGTCGTAAGTGAATAAACCTCGGAAATACGGGCTGCTGGCGGCGAGAATACTGCGATGAGCGAGAAAACTTTGATCCTCCACAAGAAGCCGAACATCGCAAAGGACTCCCTCTTTTCGAAGCCGGTCTGTCGTTATTAAAAGCACGTCCCTGTATTTCACGTTTGATATGGCTTGGGTCTTTCTTTTATCTTGATCCGCCATTTTAAAACAGAAACTAGCACACACACACACACACACACAGAGAGTAACAACTGTATTTGTTTGTACACGTTGTCTTGTGCATAATGTATGCTAATTTTCTCTCTGATTGCAACCACTCTTGCATATTTAAACTGGTGAACGAGTGAAGATCGTCAGGTGTCCCTTCGTTTTGACGAAGGGCTAACGCTCGAAATGTCAGCTTTGAAACTCTTTACGGTGGTAAATTTTTATTATCAACTCAGTTGATAAAACCAAAATTACCTTGTTATCCCCACCGACGCAGCACCACTGTTTCTTTAGAAACTTACACCCTTAATTACAATGATATATGGGCTGCTGGAGTTGTTCAGTTCATTGTAATTTGAATAGTTAGTCCTTATCTCTGGCGTACTTTTTTACTGTCCATCCGGTGTCTGTTTCAGGGAAATTGCACCCGACAGTAGGTTAGACCTGTAATAGATAAGTTCTCACATGGCAGAAATAACGACAAGTTTAATTATTGGTCCTGAATTAGCGATAACTACCTTTCGAACTACCGCCCCAGGGGAACAAGTTTCATACAACTGACCAATCCGTTCCACCACAGTCAGGAAATAACTCCATTTCAGCCACACTACTCAACAGACACTAATATAGTGAACCATTAGGTTTATTTTGCATGTTTCGGCCGAGCACCAGCGTACAATAATGAAAAAACACATATAGAAAACCGTTGCATTCTCGGTAATCGTTACCAAAGCACACGACAAAAAGACATACCGAGAGCTTAGTAATCACTAGCAAACATCGTGGTTAGAACGGCGGCCAGAAAAAACCTGCCATAAAAAACCCCGTAGGGAAAAAGAGACAGGAAATCTGGGTAGGAACCAGGCCCAAGCTCACGTAACCTTCCTACTAGGCTATATGCATACTTACAAAAAAAA